GTCATCCTCAGGAGTACCCAATGTGGAGTTAGAGCGTCAATGGGCGCATCTCAGTTGGCGCGGGTCGCGTCATCTTCGTCGGAGCTAGCGAAAGCGCAGGGCGGTAGCACCGCACCATGCTATACTTCTTCGATCTCAAATCGGCTTTCTACATGACACTTATACAGCTTGTGTTCACGGTCGCCTAGGTCGAGGATGATCTCAGCTGGATCACATCCGAGCACGAGCTGCCCATCAGCACAGCCCCCTCTCATGTCTTTCTTGCTCAACCAGCTTTGCGCCACCAGTGGGCCCAACGCGGACCCCCGTGCACTGGCACTACTGGTGGAAGCTATAGGTGCACCTGCTTCAGCACCGATGGTTCTGATAAATTCGCGAGGGCAGGAAAGGGGGGGCCGGCCTGGGAGCTCGTTAGCCGACATTGTCTTCAAAAGCACCTTCAGCCGACCACTCCAGATGATCGACGAAAAGCTTCATGGACAGAAAGGCATGCTGGATCTTGCACTATCTTCGGGGCAGCGTCTCTCCTCTGAGGGCAGTGAGTCCGAGGGATTGCTGGACACTTCCTTCGTCGACGGTGCTCTTTTTGTAGGCGTGCCAGAGGAGGTAGACGACATGCCCCGAATGGCCGACATGATGGTCGACGTTATCCACTCGTCGATGTTGACGCATGGCGCTCTACCGCATCGAGGCATGGGCACCGATGATAAAATCTGAGTTGCACACCCTCCAACGACCTAAGATCTAGGCACATCGTGAAATTGTCGGAGTTAAAGGACCAGCTCCCTCTGAGGTGAAAGTTCTAGTCGGAGCGCAGCAAATACCGATCCCACATGTGATCCGCAAAAGAAGATTGAACCCCCCAGGCACTCTCTTCCTTGAGGCATTAGAAATCCTATAGTTCTTGCTTGATGATGTGCACTTGACATCCTCATTCCAGACCTCAATGATATTCGAAGATATCTCGCGGCTGGTATTCCACGACGACGTCTCCACTCGAGCGAGTAGTAGGGCTTGGACCTTCGGTGACTGGTGGAGGTACATCCGCGACTGCCCGAGGGAGCTCATTCAGCGGGTGAGGTGCGTATCGGCACAGCACATCCGGGAACGAGTTCAGCTACAGAAAGTTTCAGGTCTCGATCGCCAGCTGCTACGACCAGATGGGGGCAAGGTTGGCTACGAGGAGGCTGACAGCATTCGGCATGTATGCTACAAGTGCGGCATGACGACGAAAACGGAAGCGGGATAGCGCAGGCACATGAACACCCACGACGTGGCGGACAGCGCCCAGAGGCTCGCGCTCGGCAACCAATGCGGCTGCTGCCTGGCGGTATTCGGGGATCGCGCGGCACTCATCAGGCATTTTCGTTGGCCAACTACTCCTCGCTTGGAACGGCTACGCAAGCTGAGGGAAGCTGAGGGAACAGGGTGTAATCAGAGAATTATCCTGGCGAAGGGCCCAACCATACGCAATTCCGAATGCCGCCGTTGTAAGTATCGTCGTTGGTGGAACACCCGATGGGGCCACGAAGCGTGTGAGAGGTGCGCCAAATGGAGGTGGAACTGCATGCGGACCCTGCCACTGGGGCCTTCGGTGGAGCACCCTGTGGGGCCGCGAAACGTGTGAGGGGTGCGCCGAAATGGAGGTGGAACTGCATGCGGACCCTGCCATTGGCGCCCTCGGTGGAGCTCCCTATGGGGCCGCGAAACGTGTGAGGGGTGCGCCGAAATGGAGGTGGAACTGCATGCGGACCCTGCCACTTGGGCCTTAGGCGGAGCTCTCTATGGGGCCACGAAACGTGTGAGGGGTGTGCCGAAATGGAGGTGGAACTGCATGCGGACCGTGCCACTTGGGCCTTAGGCGGGGCTCCCTATGACGCCACGAAACGTGTGAGGGGTGCGCCGAAATGGAAGTGGAACTGCATGCGGACCCTGCCACTTAGGCCTTAGGCGGAGCTCCCTATGGGGCCACGAAACGTGTGAGGGGTGCGCCGAAATGGAGGTGGAACTGCATGCGGACCCTGCCACTGGGGCCTCAGGTGGAGCTCCCTATGGGGCCACGAAGCGTGTGAGGGGTGCGCCGAAATGGAGGTGGAACCGCATGCGGACCCTGACACTTGGGCCTTCGGTGGAGCTCCCTATGGGGCCACTGGAACGCATGTGAGGCCTTCGGTGGAGCTCCCTATGGGGCCACGAAACGTGTGAGGGGTGCGCCGAAATGGAGGTGGAACCGCATGCGGACCCTGACACTTGGGCCTTCGGTGGAGCTCCCTATGGGGCCACGAAACGTGTGAGGGGTGCGCCGAAATGGAGGTGGAACCGCATGCGGACCCTGACACTTGGGCCTTCGGTGGAGCTCCCTATGGGGCCACGAAACGTGTGAGGGGTGCGCCGAAATGGAGGTGGAACCGCATGCGGACCCTGACACTGGGGCCTTCGGTGGAGCTCCCTATGGGGCCACGAAACGTGTGAGGGGTGCGCCGAAATGGAGGTGGAACCGCATGCGGACCCTGACACTTGGGCCTTCGGTGGAGCTCCCTATGGGGCCACGAAACGTGTGAGGGGTGCGCCGAAATGGAGGTGGAACCGCATGCGGACCCTGACACTTGGGCCTTCGGTGGAGCTCCCTATGGGGCCACGAAACGTGTGAGGGGTGCGCCGAAATGGAGGTGGAACCGCATGCGGACCCTGACACTTGGGCCTTCGGTGGAGCTCCCTATGGGGCCACGAAACGTGTGAGGGGTGCGCCGAAATGGAGGTGGAACCGCATGCGGACCCTGACACTTGGGCCTTCGGTGGAGCTCCCTATGGGGCCACGGAACGTGTGAGGGGTGCGCCGAAATGGAGGTGGAACCGCATGCGGACCTTGCCACTGGGGCCTTCGGTGGAGCTCACTATGGGTCCACGAAACGTGTGGCCATGATGGAGACGGCGATGATGATGACGACGATGGTGATAAGAACGATGATGATGATGATGCTGATGATGACGGTGACGATGACGATGATGATGATGCTGATGATGAGAGGAGGAGGAGGAGGAGGGGGAGGAGGAGGAGAGGAGGAGAGACGCGGGGCACCGTCTCTTCAAAACGAGGACCCAACAACACAGGTTGGTTGGGAAAAAACAACAATACAGAAGGCGATCACCAGTACAAAGTCGAAGTTGAAGCTCTACGTCCTGAACGTCGCCTTCTTGTTGGAGACGCGGCAGATCAACCCACGCCACTCGGCGCCAAGAAATCAACCACTTCCGTTCAGAAGGATGGACTGGTTTTGAGACGGCCTTGTCCGCAGTATGGTTCGATGATGCGCAGAAGCTGCTGCCTGCTATTGCGCGAATGTTGTTGCTGCGTCATGTTATGTTGGTGGTACAGTTGGTTTCTTTCGAACGTTGGATATGCAATCCTGTTCGCGGCGCAAGAAGCATGAGCCTGGTGTCATCGACCATGGCAGACGTAACCACTGGCACCCTTGGGGGCATCCAGATCTGCTTGCTTCTGAGCACGAGGAGTTGCGGAACGACAACCTGACCATCTTAAGTCTTCTTCTAATTCTGCATATTTGTCTTGGCGAAGCTACCCTGCCCAGTAAGTGTGCTGACTAAGGCGCTCACCGCAATCCTGCGGGTTTTACTGCGCCGACCAACCTGCACGTTGGATTGCGACCCCGGTCTATTTAATAATGCCTGTCTTTCGTCGCCCCGCACTTGATGATTACATCCACATTCGACTGGTACCGCGACACGGCGCAATGGCTTGGTGATCCACTCACCCAGCCAAGATCGAGCTCGGCGGCATCCATGGACCTGGGCGAGCGCCTCGTGTCTTGCATAGCCGACGCGTTCGAGGCGCAGCTCAAAGGTGCTCTGGCCCGTGCCTATCGAGGGAGGCAGGGGGCCTCGCAAGCGGCGGCATGGCCCTCTCCCCAATTTTGCGCGCACCGTTCATGTTGAATTCCGCCAAACGGCCCGATACTCTACAGAGGGAGGGGGGAGCGCACGTTTTCATGGCACACGCTCAGGATGAGTCCGTTTGGACCTCCCGCCCTCCAGGATGGGGAGGTTGCATCTTCAGGGGGGTGTCCAAGGGCGGAGTGAAAACTACCTGGCGCTTCGTCGTCGGCCTGCCCTGCACCGGCGCGGGGGCGAATTGAGGGGGGGCCGCTCGGGTGGCGGAAGTGGCAGACGAGCGCCACCCCGCTGCGGGCCCCCCCTCGCCAGTGCCTGATCAACTCGCGCTCGTGTGCGCGCCGTGCTCCCTTGCCAGAGGGCCCTGGCCCAGCCGCGCGGCCAAGAGAAGGCCCTGCAGCCGCGACCAGGTCCAGACCGACGAGCCCCCGTGCCACTCGTCAAGGCCCTGGGAGGCCGCGTCGTGTTCCTGACCCTCGGCCAGGTCGCGTTCTCCGCTGCGCTCCGTGGAATTATCGGCCCACTGTCCCCTCGCTGTGCGGCGCGCCGTGTCTGGGACTTCGTCGGGGACGTTTTGTTGATCTTGCACGGCGCGGCTGTCGGTAAAGTCTTCCCGGAGCAATCCGCCGTAAGAGCCGCAAAGCAAATCGGACGCGTGCACCACTGCCTGGGGACGGCCACGCGGAGCCCACCACACACAGATGTTACTGGCGGATGAAAGAAGGAAAAGAAGGAGCGAAAGGGGGAGGAGGAGTGGAAGGTGGATGAGAAGGCATACTTAGACCCTTCGCACTCATTGAAAGACTTTCACCCTGTAGTGCCCGGGCTAATATTCTCCTCCTCCTTCTCCTCCTTCTCCTCCTGCCTCCTCCTTCTTTTCCGTTCCCCTCTGTTCCTCCCATCTGGGCACCACGAGCAAGTGAGTGGAAACAATCCCCGTCCAATTCACTATCGTCA